TGAAGGACTCCCGACTGGGGACGTGATCAGAGGCGCTGAAGGAACAGCAGGCTCCCGAAAGCAACCGTGCCTTAGAGATGGGGCACCGGGTATCCCCCAGGGTCCTCCTGGCCCACACGCCCAGATGTGAAGAGGAGGAAGGGTAGGTGGCTTCCAGAATGAATGAGCATGGGGTAGAATTGTCAGGCGTGTTGAGGGGTGGGCTTCCTAGGGGTCAGTGACAACTCTGAAGTTATATTTTCGTATTCAGAGTACAGATATCCCGTTTGCCTTTACCAGTGACCTAGATGAGCTTGCAAAATCACATCTGATGGCTGACACTAACTTTGTCCCTAGAGAAAGTGTCTGGCACCCAAGGAGGGTTTGGGCACATGCTGGCAGAGGGAGGGAAGGAGGGATGGAATCTTATTTGGTTCTACAATTAAGAGGACACCAAGCCACAGTCGTGGTCAGTCATAGCTGCTGGAGGACCTGCTCACACCAGAGCGCCCAGCGCGTGGCCCTACAGCACCACCTGGGACTCAGGAATTGGGTGGCACTTCTCTGGGCACCCTGCCCCTGGGCCCTAGGGAAACTGCTCTGGGCTAAGAGAACTCCCAGCCCGAGGTCAGTCCCCAGACAATGACCAGTGGACATGGGGAATGTAAAGACCCACCCCTTCACTCTAAAGAGTCACCCCAACTTCAGAACTGCCCGTGATCAGAACTTCCCACCCAGACCGCACTGCAGCTCAACTCCCTCCGCCCAGCCCTGCCCCCTCCCTTCCCAAGGACACTCCTTAGTAAGCGTCCTGCCCGTGACTCTCCAGCCCAGAGTCGGCTTCCCAGGGAACACAGACTCTGACAGACATCCACCGATTGCCTCAGTTCCTTCATCTCTTCCACTGGGGTGGGGGCGGGGCAGGAGTAGAGCAAATCCCGGCCCGGAGGGTGAGCCTCACTCAAGATCAGCGCAGCAGTGAGTGGGCAGCATGGCCAGACAGCCCTGCTCTCTCCTTTATTCAACCCTCACCTGAGGATATTTTCTCCATTGATTTTTAGAGAGTGGAAGTAGGGAGGGGAGGGGGAGAGAGAGAGAGAGAGAGAGAGAAACATCGATGTGAGAGAGACACATAGATTGGTTGCCTCCCAGGTTCCCCAGCCAGGGCGGAGATTGAACCTGCAACAAAGGTATGTGCCCTTGACAGGAATCCAACCTGCGACCCTCCGGTGTGTGGGCTGACGCTAACCACCGAGCCACAGCAGCTTCTCTGCCCTGCATCCCGAGGGAAGGGAGTTTGAGGTGCGAGGGAGCCTTTGTGGCCCCCTTCCAGGCAGCGGGTCAGAGGACCTGGAGGCACGCTGCCCTTTGAGGAATACGCGGAATAGTCATTTAGTACACGCACATCATGAAATGCATGGTTTTGTCTGGAATCAGTGAACATCGTTGACTAGTTTGCCAGAAAAAAAAAGTTGTTATCAGTTGTACAAGTTTTAAGAACATTTCTAAGGAGCAAACCTTTGCACTGTTGCTGAGCTTAACCTTTTTCTGGAACACGAGGAAAAGACATCCACAGCTCAGTGTCCATCACAGAGCCCCTCAAAGCAGCCCATGGAACCTGGGGGCAGTCTGCAGTGGGCGGTCCGGGGGGCCCTCCTTCCCTGCTGGCCCCGCCAGAGGGGCAGAGCTTTAGAAGTTGATCCAGGAGAAGCAGCGATGGACCCTGGGCGCCCTGGAGGGGATGCAAGGCCTGCTCCCTGGGCTCACGAGCAAACCCTGCACTTTCCGGGACCAGGAGTGACAGCCCGCCCCTCACTGTAGACACTTCACTCCACTCTCTCCCGACGGTGTTTCGAGGGCCTCGAACCCCTCTGATCTGAGGAGTGAGCTGGTGCTAAGACCGTTTCCAGGTATCTTACAAGGATTAGCTCATTTAAGCCTCACAATTACTAGACCCATTTTACAGAAGAGGGAAACAAGGGTTTTCAAGAGATTTAGTAATTTGCCCAGGTCAGAGTTAGCGAGTGGAGGAGGCGGGGTTTGTGTCCAGTCAGTAAGGGCACCGCCAACACCCTGAGAGTCCACCTTGAACTGGGAGACAACGCAGACCTGTGGGAAGACTAGGGCTCTCGAGCCCAGTTTGCAAGCTCCTGCCCCAGGCTGTGGGTAGCCCAGAAGGCCAGGCTCAGCCACCTGCCGAGCTGCGGGGAGTCTGCAGCTGTGGGACACAGATCTAGTCACTTTGCAGGAAGGCTGAAGCCCACAGCCCCCTACAGGCACTCTGAGGAGAGCCACAGAGACACCACGGGGACAGAGCGCCCATTTCTCGTCACGTGACATTGCAGCCACACCCCAACTGTGCACCTACCAGCTGCCTGCTGTTGGTCTTTTTCTGGGTCAAATGTCCACTTGAGGTTGTAGAGTTGAAAGGGAAAGAGATTTGGAGTCAGTAGAGGCAAGTTCAGCTCTGCCACGTTTTAGCTAACGCCTCTGGCCTCAGTTATCCCGTCTGTTAAGTGGGGAAACAGAACCTGCTCTCTCCCGCAACAGAGGGAGAGATCAGGGGCACAGATGCTGGCTGTGCCCTTTGGCCACCAAATCTGATTGCAGGCACCTCTGTCCGGTGCCTAGGGAATGCGGGCCTCTCGGTGTGACAGCCCCAAGTCCCAGGAAAGTTAACCTGTTATACAAAAGTGTTAACGACCAAAGTCCAACATGAAGGTTTGGGGCTTAGCAAGGCCACGGCTATCCAAACTCCGCTGGGAAGGTTGGGGTCCACCTGATAATATTCTGCAGCTTCCCTCAAATGTCAGAATCACACGCTCCACCGAGAGGGACTAAGGGGGCCTCTGGTGCTGGCTTCCTGCTGGCAGATAATGAGGACCTTAAACTACCTGGCTGCGTGCTCTTCTCCTGACAGCCGGCCGGGGACTCCACGGAAGCCGAGTGACCGACTGCCGCGTATTCCAGAGTGTGAACAAAGGTGGAGCCTCCAACCCGCACACGCAACGGGCCTGGTGTGTGTCTGGGGCCCTGAGCGGCAGAGCCTGACCCCTGAAGGTCAAGACATGTGATTCTTGCATCTGTCTTTGGTCCAGCTGAGCACCTCTCCTTCCAGTTCGGCCGATTTCCTCCGGCTCAGGCCCTGTGAATGCGGAGGCCGCGGCTCCTCAGCCCCCGCATAAATCTCTGGGTTTACCCGCGTGAACGTCCCTCCCTGGCAGCCTCCTTGTCCCTGGCCCTGTCCATCAGCCTCTCCTCGCAGGACATACTTTCCATGCCTTTAATCATCTTTACTGCCTGGCCTTGGACTCGGTCCCGGGTCCACATCCTCTGCGAGGTGTGCTGACCTAACCCGGCGTTTGTTAGCACGAGCGCGGCCCAGCGGAAGGGCAGCTTCCCAGAGCCTGCGTGTCAGGCTCCTCTTCCTACATCCCTGGGTCGTGCTGCTGCTTTCCGGAGCCTGCACTGTGCAGGGGGCTCCTGCTGAGCTGGGTGACCTGGCCCACGTGCGGAGGTGGGGCCTGGACGCTGGGCCAGGGGAAGCAGTCAGAGGGCGACCTCTCACTCGGAAGCTTGGGGCTGCCGTACAGCTCGACAGGCATTCTGGGGACCGTGGGGCAAGGGAGGAGGGCCCCAAGCCTTGCGCTCCCCAACACCACCCCAGTCCCCTGTGAACCCCATTCCCCCTTTGGGGGTACTCCTTGCATCCTCTATCTGCCAGGAACCCAGAAACCAGGAATGAGCCTCTGTGAAGCGGCACAGCAGAAAGGGGCACACCCAGTGGGCAGGGCTAGCTCCAACGCTCCTGGCTCAGTTTCCCCTTTCGTGCCACTGCACAAAGTGCCCAGTGGTCCCGATGTCCAAGCCAGGGCCCACTCCCTGAGCGTTTACTGTTCTCTGTTTCACATCCGCTAAATCCACCAGCTGATGACGTGGCATTCAGGTGCCCCAGTCCTCCACCCACCCCAGGCTGGGGCCACCGCCCAACACTCCTCATGCAGGGCTGAGCCTGCAGGGCAGGATCGGGGCCCCTGGTCACCCCAGCTCTGGTCTCAAGGAGCTGCCTGAGACCAGGCACGTCTAGTCTTCTGAGCAATGATGTCGGTTGGGCTGTTTCTTGGCTCTTCGAGAACATTCTCTGTTCATTGAAGGTAAAACCACAAGCCGTCCCTTTATCTAAGAAGAAATTCCCTCTAGAGGAACACCTCATTTTAATTCCTCAGGCAGGCCTCCTTCCTTCCTCCCTTTTTTGGTATTTCCATTCAAAAATCACTTATGTACGTTCAAGCAAAAAATATACTCTAACACCTCCTTGTGCACAAATGGCCACATTCTGCAGACACGGCTCTGCACCTGGGCCTTTCCATTTGAAATAAACCTGGAAGACCTCTCCATGTCAGAAAGCCTTTAAGGAAACAAAGACACGCCCAGGCCCTCCCAGGATGCCCAGCCTCAGGTGCCCCTCCTGCCCAGGGCTGCCTCACGGTGCCTTTCCTGGCCCCGTCATCACCCAGGGCTCTGAACTGCAGGGAGATCCTGGTTTCCGCTTCTGTTCAACACCCCACAGGCTCTGAGGGCAGGAGCATGTGTGGGTGCTGAGCTGTGTGATGCCTTCACAGCAGAGCTGAGCACGGACCAGGGGTGACTCCCAGTGACTGGGGTGGAGGAAAGACAGGCACCCTTGGAATTGTGATCTCCAAAGCCTCCTGCAGGCCATGTCTCAAAACATGCGTCGGTGGGGTCCTGGCCCCTCGGACTGCTGGTTGCTGTAAGGTCAGTGGGAAGATCATTTCTCCTCCTGAACTGCAACAGCCGACCTGGACTCCTGCAGGCATCCGTTCCGGGGGTCAACCAAGAGAAGCGCAGCCGCCGCTGCCTGCTGGCTGCCAACCCCACGTGCCAGCCTCACAGGTACCAGCCGGTGACCGGGAAAGCAAAACACAGGCCAGGAGCGACGGAGCTACCAATGGCCGACAGAGAACAAGAAAACCCAAAGCTCAAGATGTGGTCTCTCCTACCTTCGGTCATTTCTCCTCCTCCGGAACAACTTCTTCGTGTGCGCGATCTCCACTTCATGAGGCATCGGGTGGTAGCCCTGGGTGTGGGGGAGGAGGGGCATCGTTAGCGACTTCTGATCGAGTGTCAGAACTTCTGGGACCAGACTAACGACAATGACGTCTATGACAAAAAGAAACGGAGCGTTTGGAAAGACTGACCACCGAAGCCGGACTGAAAAATGGAAAACACTAGAGTGAACGAATTTCCCACCAGGTGATGATGCTGGAATTACAGACTCGAAAGCAGTAGGGACACAAAAGGGCCTTAGAATCCGTCATAGCCAGTCAGTCAAACTACAGATGGGAATGCTCAGGTCCAGAGAGGGAGTGAGCGTCTGAAGTCTTGCAGTTTGCCACGGAGCCGGGACCACGTCTGGGTCCCCTAGCTGCGTGGCGTTTGCTTCTCTAACATCCAGCTCCCTAACACAACAGGGACGCTGGTATCTTCTCCGAGCAGCTGAGCGGACCACAAGGAGGCAGCCCCTGCAAACCCTGGGCCACGTGCAGAGGGAACGTGCTAGAAGCCAGGTCTCCCCATCCTAGTGCAGGACCCTGTGCAGTTTTACCCCAGATCCTCACCCCTTCTGCTCCCGGGGAGCAGCTAGGAGGACATGCAAATAGCTAAGTGCCTTTTAAACTGGGGGGAAATCTAAAGATGGTCTTTCATGTATCGTTGTCATGACAACGTTTGTACATTTACTTCATGACTGGTGAAAGACCCTCTGCTTATAACATGGGGCTGATCCCAGAAATGCCAGGCCCCAGGCAGAACTTTGGCAGAAGCTCACTGGTGGCCAGCTCTGTTGCCACCTCCCTCCCTGTGGCAGAAAAGTGTGTTCTGGTGGGACATGGGAGAGCACGGCCAGTCCATTAGGGATAGCCTGGGGCCAGGGGTGGTGTGGCTTGGGCGTGGGACACCTGGGTGCAGGCTGACTCAGAGTCCTCAGGACCTCGGGCAGGGCCCAGCGTTCTGGATGTGGTCAGGGACAGTCCATTTGGCCCAACCCTACTCTACACAGGGGACTGAGGCCCAGAGAACTCGTACAAAGAGTTAGAGATGGGCAGCTCTGGGGGCTGGCAGCTCAGACCCTCTATGGTGAGGGCGCTGTAGTCTCTGGATTTGGGGTCCACAGCAGAGGGCCCTGCTGGCCCTGGGGGCTCAGGGTTCAGCCCCTGACCAAGGTGGGGGATGGACAATGGCAGTTCTGGCTGTGCCCAAGCTGGCCAGTCTTGGGGAGCTTCCGGTGGAGGGGGGGACTGGGAGGGTAGCAGTCTCAGGAGGACACAGGGACCCTGGTATGCTGGACTCCTATTGAATCCAGGGAGGGAATAACACATTTCAAAATAACCTGAACACTAGTCTCTCCCTCCTGGCCGGTCTTGCCTCGACAATGCAGTAAAAGGCATGAATGAATTCCGGGCTCCAGGCAGCCACAATGGGCCTCTGTGGCTTTAGGATGTGCTTTGTTTAATGGTTTTCTCAAAGGATATTATTTGCTTTCTTTAATACAAAACACAAACAAGGAAAAACACCAAGTCTTCCCCTTTCATTTCCCCTCTCCCACCCCGACCAGCTCTGAGCTGGCCTCTTCCCTCCCTCGGTCCCTCCCCGGCCTCAGGTCACTGCGGGAAAGCTGGGTGTGCCCCGCACAGACAATGGAAGGAAGCAGAGGCTCCCTCTCAAGCTGGCGGCCCGGATCTTAGCTCCGAGCTGGGCAGAGGGAGCTGTCCACGACCCTTGGCGTCCATGAGCCCAGGAGGTGCTAGCCGCCCCTGTCTGGGCCCCAGAGTCCTGGGTTCTGACCTGCACCCCAGCCTACTCCCTGCCCAGAGGCCAGAGCGTGAGGGAGCTACCCTGGGACCCTACCTCCTGGAGTCCCAGCCCTCTGCCGGGACTCCGTGGGGCCCAGTGGGCGTGCAGGGCCACTTAGGGCTTCTGAATAAGCCATGGCTGAGGCCTCTGAGCACACCCATCCACCCCCCAAATTAACATATATGCACGTGTGGATAACACACTGTAATAGTTAAAAGAATGGCTTTGGAGCTGAACTGGGGCGTACAGCCTGGCTCGTCCTCTTGATGGCTGAGACACTGAGAAATGACCCAACCTCTATGTGCCTCAGTCTCCTCGGGTCCTACGAGGGGTAAAGGAGTTGATGAACGCGTACAGAACACAGATGTGCCTCAGTAAGCATCTCGAGCGTCGGCCTCCTCCTCCTCCTCGTCCCCTTGCCCCTGACCCTGACACCTGCTCAGGGCTGAGTGAGCCAGCACAAGCACGGCTGGTGGTGCCTTCCTCATGGCGCCCCCGTCTTGGGAGAGGCCAGCAGGGGTGGTGTGCAGGGGAGGTGGGTGTGGGACCCCGGTCAGGGAAGACTGTGGGAATTAGCAGAGAGCCTGGTGGCCCACGTGCTGGGGAAGGACAGAGTAGCTCTGCCTGTCGTCTCTTTCTGAGGCTGGCAGGCCCCACTGGGAGGCCCCCCCACAGCTGAACAAAGTGACAAAGGTTTCAGAACAAAGCTTTTCACCTCTGAGGTCCCCCTCCCCAGGAACAATCCAGGCTCCAGAGGACTGGTCCTACCCCCAAGGCTACCTGGGGCCCCGCCTGTTGGTGTCGTGGTGAATAAATGAACGAGCCCACCTTTCTGGGGGCACCTACACAGAACTCTCAGGCACGTGGCATATGCCAGGGTGCACTGCATTTACACAAGCTTTGCTGGGGGACCCTCCCAGCAGCCACTGTGTTCCTCACAATCAAGCTGGTGGTGGGTGCCAAGTGGCACATGGTTCAAGATGCTGCCCACACTCCCCCGAAAACAAGGGCATGCTGGTGTCCACAGGGGAGTACGAGCCAACCGGAAAAGAGAGAAGGTCTGTGCGGAGCCACCACCTGCCACAGCTTAGCTGCTGACCCAGGCGACCAGGACTTTTTTTAAAGTCATTGCTGAGAGGTAAGACTTATGCATGAATGTTCATAGAAGCATTATTCATATTTGCCAAAAATGGAACAACCCAAATGTCCACCAGCGGCTGGCTGGATGAACACAATGCGGGGCACCCCCACAGCAAGAGGGGACACGGCAGCAAAAAAAGGTCTGACACACGCGGCCACAGGGGTGGCCTCGAGGACATGCCGAGGGAAGAAGGCAGTCAGCAAACACCACACGCTGCATGGTGCCACTCTGAAGAAAGGCCTGGAGTAGGTCAATCTGCAGACAAAGGGAAGCGGAGTGGTCACCAGGGGCTGGGAGGGGAGAAGGGGAGTCACTGCTCGCGGACACTGGGTTTCCTGTGGGGCGATGACCTGTTCTGGACTCAGCGGCAGTGGTGGTGAAACTCTGCATGTACTGAAAGCCATTGACCTGTATACTTTAAAAGGGTGAATTTTACGGTATGTAAATTATACTTCAACTGTAAAAGGTGGAAAAATATCTGAGAGCACTATGTTCCAGACGGAGGGACCAGCCGGCGTTGGGGGGGGGGGGTGAGTCCGTCAATGAGAAGTGAGCCCCTCTCACTCAGGGGCTCTCTGGGAAGCAGCTGCCCTAAAACACCGTCCACAGGGCGGCGCGGGAACGGGTGGCATGTCCTAGGCGAGGCGCACCCAGTGACAGATGTGACCAAGGATCTGGAAAGGAAAATAAATGGGTATCTCCAGGCCTGGCCAGGGGAGATGGTGCTCCGGCTTTCGACCAGGGGTCCCTCCCTGCTTCTTACCCAGGATTCACCCCTCCAGTGGAGAAGGAGACATGGGTCAGGCTTGCCGGGATTAGCCTTTAAAAGTACGTGGCATTTGCTTTAATTCTTTATTCAACACATCTTTCCACTCCCTCCATGCTCTGTAAGAGGTGCAGGTGGACGTCTGTCAGCCCAGGCAGCGGCCCCCCTGCCCTCGGCCGTAAACGACAATGCCGGCCTTCGGGTTTGCCAGCTGGTCTGAGCATTTCTTCCGTGGGCGTCAGGTGCCGCGGCGGCATCACCCTGAAGGACCCAGGGCCTGCCGGGCCCTCCTCCGCTTCTCTGCATGAGAACCCTCTCCCTTTAGCTCAGACCTGGCTGCAGCCTCCCACTGTCTAACCTCTGACCACTTCCAATCACTAAATGGGCCTGGGAGACAAGCAGATTATATAAACCAAGTCTCCCCAGGGAGGGAGGGAAGCTAATACTCCTTCTGCGTGCAGCGCCGGCGGAGTACACGTGACACACACACACACGCACACGCACACACACACACACACGCACACACGCACACACACTCCCCAGAGGGTGAGACGCAGCACTGCGGGGCAGCCCGTTACTGGTCTGGTTGCAGAAACATGTTATGTAAAACCCACTCACTCCAGGGCAGACCTGCTGGCCCCAGTCTCGGGGTACAAGGGCCTTGTCCTGAGATGACAGCTATAAAACACCAGATCTCGGGTTGGGGTGAGGGTGGAGAAGGGAGGGCTAAGCGAGCACTGGAGCCAGGACAGCACGTGGCCTGTGGCTCTGAGAGCAGCCGGCTCTGTGATAAGATGCTCACTTCCACGGGACCTCAGACACCTCCCTCTGCCCAGGCACCCACCCACCCACCCACTCTTCTATTCATCCACCCATCCTACAAAGATTGTTTCAGGCACTGCAGACACAGTAATAAAAAACAGGCAAAATGCTTATTCTTACAGAGCATCCATTCTAGTGAAAGGAGAGAAACAAACACATGAGCAGATAATAGGAACAATGATGAAAATGCTACAAAGCGGCACAAGGCAGGCCTGGGGTGGGGGTGGTCAGTGAAGACCTTTCTGTTGCTGACATCTGTCCATTGGTCCATCCACCCATCTGCCCATCCTTGCTTCCTCCTCACCCAACCAGCGCTGCAGGCCCACCAAGTGCCAGGCACAGCGACGGAGGCTCCCAGAACAAACAGACCCGTCGCGGCCCTAGGAACTCAGGAGGACACAGCGAGGACGCCGATGTGTGCCGTGTGCAACACAGAGGGCGGAGCAGACGCCTCCGGCAGCCCCGAGGAAGGAATGAGCCTCTGCTTGGGAGAAGG